TCATCCAACGATCCTAAAATGGTGTAAAACTTTTTTGTTTTACACTATGTAATTTGATCCTAGCTATATAGAAGATCATGTTACACAATGTAATTTTTTTTAGTTTTATACATATTTATGAACGTTGGATGAGTTAAAATAGATGACTGAGATTAACAGTAGGAAATAAGAAGATATTTACTAGAAAAAAACAAGGAGTCAATCTTAGTTATCTATTTGCACTCATCTAACGGTCCTAAATCTGTGTAAAACTACAGAGTTTTACATTGTGTAAGTGGTCATAACCAACATATATATATATATATATAATATATATATATATAAAATGACTTGTTCAAGTCGTGTTAGAACCTATTGAACTCGATCAAATGCTCATCCCTATAAGTAATATAGAACAATATCAATATATTTGATTTATTTTAACTTGAATAAATTTAAATAAAATATTATTTATAAATTTGATCAATCCTAATTTTTATACTAAAATCAATTTACTCGATTAAATACTCACCCGTAACAAATAAATAACAATTATCTATGTTATATTTACAAGAAATTCCAACCAACTTGCTACATGATCATCTTCCTAAATAGTATTATAAATTTGTGTCATAAACTTTTTCTTTTGGTTGTCCCCTTGGTTCCAATGATTCATCTGATTAATTCGGACTGATCCGTGTTGCACACCTAACTTTGATGAGTGAGTCTTCCAACAGGAATTTTCTAATACACAAAAACGAACTCGAACTCGAACTCAATACTTTGTTTAAGTAATATCAAGTTGCTTACCATTTGAACCAACCATTGTTTGTAGATTATATATAAACTTTTATTGCTTCCCTTATTATTATTATTATTATTATTATTATTTTATTATTATATTTAAAATATATATTTTTAAAATTTTATTTCCTTCATATTGTGAGCATAATTAAATCTAATTAATTTAAATGATATTGTTTGTGCGGTCAAATAAAATAATTTTATATTTTTTAATTAAGTAAATCTGGTGAGAATTATCTTTATAATAGATTATAGACAGGGCCGAAATCATTTAGGAGGTGGGAGGGTTGTTATCCCTTCCAATCTTATATATATATATATAATATTTTAAGTTTTTTAATTTAAATATTAATTAAATAAAATATTAAAATATTAAGAAACTAAATTAAATTTCTAAAAAAAATATAATTGAAAATATAATGAAAACAAAATTATCGATAAATTATATATTGAATTGAAATACATTTAAAGGAATTGATAAGAAACTATCATTTAAAAATAAATTAATTAAAAATATCCTAGTAGATGATAATATTGATAAATAAAAAAACATATTTCTTTATCTAAACATATCAATAATTTATATATAATCCATTAGACTCGTTCTCAACTCAACACGAATTGATACAAGGATCTAAAGGTTGATCCGATTCAAAATCGACTAACTTGGGTTAGATGAGTTTAAGGAAGATTTTTTCTCTAGGGAGATTACAAGGCCCTTGTTTGAAGCTACTGGTTTGGCCCCTGTTCAGACAAGGTGGATTTGACAGGAACTAAGGGTGAAAGGGAATACAGTTCCATGGCAGAAGCTAGTATGATTTCCTCTTCCCGTTCCTAAACATGTTATTTCTTGGTTGGCGTTGTTAGATCGACTGGGTACTAAAGACATATTGCAACACATGGGTCTAATGTTGGAGGGTGTTTGCGTTTTATGCGGAGTGGCAAAAGAGTCTAGAAATGACATGTTCTTTGAATCTAATTTTTCGGTAAGTGTTTGGAAGACCATTTTAGCTTGGTGGTGAATGTGGCATGGGAGCTTCGGTTGAGAAAATGAGTTGTAGTGGGCACTCTGAAAAAGGAAGAGTAATTCCATTTCTTCTTATATGTTTAAGATTACTTGGAATACTTTTATATATTTTATTTGGGAAGAGAGAAATAGAAGAAACTTTAAAAAGTTGTATAGAAATGATGAGGAATTGCTTGGTTGTATGGAGAAATTGTGCAGGTGAAACTAAATAGGACTATATAGGGTTATATAGTGTGAGATTATAGGTTTTGGTTTGATTGTTTTTTTGACTGTTGCAGCTTGTTGCTTTGTTTTCTTTAGATTTAATACATATATTTTATCCAAAAAAAAAAATCGACTAACTTAATATTGACAGACTCAAAATCGTAGGACTAATCTTTTTGAGATAAAATTTGAATTCGACCCGATCCAACTTAAAATAATATACTTATAAAAAATATTACTTTAATTTAATAAAAACTAATTAAAAATAATAATAAATAGAAGGGTATTATTGTAATTATCCTTAAATATATAAGGTAAAATGATTTTTTTTTCTGATCAAGTAGGAAATTTTCACCATAAACTCAATCCCGACTTGACTCAAACATAACATCTAAAAAATCTGACCAGATCTAACCCGAAACTAATTTTAATTTTTGTTGACCCTATAAAATTAAATTAAATCAGAACTCATCGAATTCGAATCTTATGTCTGTCCATGTGAGTAATAACCTCTTGTAGCACTAAAAATATACATCCCTCGGTGGTTCATCGTAAACGAGTTCTCCAACCAAAAACGGTATGATATTATATGCTTCGTTTTCTTGTTTCTAGAAATGGAATTACTGAATTATATATATTATATATAATGGAATTATTGAAATTTGACATATTGAACTTTGTATCAAAGCCGTTGATGTATTTTATTATATTTTATTGTATTTGCAAAATGATCCTTTTGACTTTCTGGTTTTTTCGTTTCAGCCCATAATGAAAAAGGTTATTCTCATTCACACCCATTTTAGTTGTTAACGCATACTTTAAGTTATTTTTGGAGTTAATTAAAATATTATTTGTAACAATAAAAAATTAATTAAGAATATCTTAATTTAATTAGTATGATTGTTATCGTAAATGAGATGACTATCCAGCTCAGTTGGTAGAGCACAAGATTCTTAATCTTGAGGTCGTGGGATCGAGTCCCACGGAGGGCATTTCATAATTCGGAGGTCTTATACGGAAGTTGCTCTCAACCTGTTATTGGGGTAGCCTACTATCTTACCTCCCCCTTACCCCATTATATATGGGAACAAGGGACAACCATTTATCGTAATATCAAAGAGTACATGAGAATAACGTATTTAGACGTACATTACACTTCAATTTAAGGGTTTAAAAGTTTGAGTAATTCAATCTTAGATTGATATTTAAATATTAAGTAAATATATTATTTCATAATAATAATTTTTATATTATTATTGTATAATTTTATAAGTTAACGATAAAATCTCTTAATAAAAAACAATATTTAACATATGTATGTTACATTAAATACAAATTCTTCGCAATAATAAGGGTAAATTTTATCAACTACCATTAAACTTTAGATGATATATTATTTATATCATTAATTTTTTAATTATTTTAATTAGAGTATTGAACTTTGGTTTTACCTTCAATATACCATTGGGTTGTTAAAATTCAAAAGACATGATGATATAGAGAAAAATAAAATCGTTTTGATGCGACTATTGATGTCGAAAATGATAAAATTTTTAGACAATGAATTTTAAGAGTATATCGATTTTTCAGTTATAACATTTTACTTTTTCAACCGTCATCAGGGATGAAAATTCTTCGCAATAATAGGGTAAATTTTATCAACTACCATTAAACTTTAGATGATATATTATTTATATCATTAATTTTTTAATTATTTTAATTAGAGTAATGAACTTTGGTTTTAGCTTCAATATACCATTGGGTTGTTAAAATTCAAAAGACATGATGATATAGAGAAAAATAAAATCGCTTTGATGCGACTATTAATGTCAAAAATGATAAAATTTTTAGACAATGAATTTTAAGAGTATATCGATTTTTCAGTTATAACATTTTACTTTTTCAACCGTCATCAGGGATGAAGCCAAAATCAAATATTAGTAGAGGTTGAAATATTGAACTATTTAAGAAAAAAATGACTTATAGTATTTAAACTTAAAATTCAGAAAATAATGTTTAATTTGTGTAATATTTAAACATACAATGACCTAAAGTGTTATTAGACCAAAAAATTGAACATGTGATTTTTCTTTTTAATCAACTTGATTAAATATTTAATAAATTATTGTATTTTTTAAATTTAAATACTTATTTTACATAAACCAAATTAAAATTAGACTAAAATCTATTCAATATATAATTTTTTTACAGACCAAGGGCCTTTGAGCCCCAATAGAGCTCCGTCTCTTACCATCATTGACAATGAACTACCGCTTGTTATCGGTCATTAGTTATGACAAGATCTTAACTCGAATTAGATTGATCTATCAAATAAAAAGTTTATCCAAAATCTTAATTCGTTAGATAATCTGGCCATTGAATAGAAAATTCGTGGTCAAGCAAAAAGGTAGACAAAGCTGGCGGGTCATTAGCAGAAATAGGTAGAAAATAAGGTGTAAGCGGCTGGTAAGAAAACGAGAGCAGACAAAGGAGAGTTGGTGAGGAACACATGAGCAATACAAATACTGCTTCATGAGTCATAAACTCAACACCAAACTCATACCCCTTTCTTTGCAATTCCCCAGGATTCAAGGTCTGTTTTCACTCCACTCATTGATCCTTGACTCGAATTCTGGGTTTTTTTTTTATTGTTTTTAGTTTTCAAAGTCTTTTTCTTCATGGTGATCCATCCATGCAATGAAAAAAGTTTGCATTTTTGTTTGTTTGATATGTTTTGTTTTGCATGTTGTCGATTAATCCGATGAAAGCTAAAGAAATATTTGATTTTCATGTCTTTATCGAGAGCTTGTCACATTTCTTTGAATACAGATCATACAAGAACCAAAAGAAAAACACAGAACATGTTTTTTGTTGACTTTAATTTCATTGGTTTTCTTGTTTGATTATTTGATATGAATTCTGTGTCGGGTTTTTAGCTTCTAGTTTAAAGTTCCCATTTTTTTCTGAATGCATATCATATTAAAAAATGGGATCAGGTGAATGGTTCCTTCAAAAAAGAGATAGTTTCAGGAACGATTCGTTTTCAGGCACCGAGAATGTGCCCGAAATCGGGTGCCTCTCGATTATCGTTCTTGGTGCCTCTGGTGATCTTGCCAAGAAGACTTTCCCTGCTCCAGGTTAAGTTTTTGGATTCATTTGATCATAGGGGAGCTAACCTTACATGGTAATTGTGTGTTTGCAGGGATTTCTACTGCCGGACGAGGTGCATGTTTTCGGCTATGCAAGGCAGGGTTTTAAAAAACGGTTTCGTCGCCGTTTGAGTTACCCGCAATGGTTGCAATGGCGCCCGAGACGGCCGCAATCACGGTAAATTCGAAATAACTGAAAACACGATCGCGACTTGAAACCGTGCATGCAAGGACTAAGATTTCGGATGATGAGTTGAGAAATCGCATTCGCAGGTGAGGCGTCTATCACACTTTGGTCATATCGCATTAATTTATGAATAGTGTCAATGGTAGGCTTGACTGATATCTAATCAAAATGACAGATATCTTGTGACTGAAAGGAGTTCGTTGCCGTCGGAAGATGTATCGAAGTTCTTACAGCTGGTCGGTACAAGCCTAGTTATACATTTAACATGTTTCAGTCCTATTATTTTTGCTTCTTAGCTTTCAACTGGCAACTGTTATTGTTTGTAGATTAAATACGTAAGCGGGACGTATGCTGCTGCTGAGGGCTTTCAATTGTTAGACAAGGAGATCATGAAACATGAAATCTCGAAAAGTTGCCAAAAAGGGTCATCTCGGATACTCTTTTATCTTGCACTTCCACCGTCTGTATATCCGTCTGTTTGCAGGATGATCAGGAAATATTGCATGAATAAATGTAGGTACTTATGCTTCATGAACAATGGTGCTAGAACATATCATTTTACATGATTTATTATAACGCCTGTTTCAGGAAATATTTTCATTGGTCTGTGCTTTCTTCATATTTTTGTAATTCACCGAACTGTGTAAATTTTCCATTCTATATTCTCACGATCACAAGCTTTAAATGGTTCTGTCCCGGATTTTTGATCGAGAGACACGATATCTTGTCTACTACTTTCCTTGAAGGGCTCATTGATGATTAGAAGGCAGTATCTTATATATTTTTTTCCCCAGCTGATCTTTGTGGATGGACTCGGATTGTTGTTGAGAAACCAATCGCTTGTGAATGTATATGCTAAAGCAAACAAATATGTGAAACTATACACAAATGATGCAAGTAATATAATAAGTTAGAGTTATCGTCTCCTCAGGAATTGATGAGAATTATTGATGTTTTGCTATAGCTAGAGTTAGATATCCCGAACTAGTCTAGAAATTCTTGTCGAAACAAAAACAAGTAGTACCAAAAAAAATAAACGAATGAGAAAGTACTGTCTAGGCAAGAAATATTATGAAGTATGGTGTACAGAAAAGTTTAGTCGAGGCAAGGAAAAATTGTAAAAGAAAACGAATCAAAATTATTAAAGCAGTTAAAAGTGTTGGGTTCAATATATTCAGAGAAACCTCACACAAACAGACTTATTTACGAAGAACTTAGGTTGGTTTTGCTAAGGCAAAAAGTTATTCTATATCTAGAATGACTTAGTGTGCTATGCTTAAGTTGTCTGACAGGATTATTGGAGTATTCAAGAACGGTTGCTACAACAATACTACTCGGCGTGAACTACAACCCTTGGTTTGTCAAACTGTTGTTGAGGCAATACCCCTCAACGTAAACTACATTCGTTGCCTATCCTACTCAAGTAATTACCCCTTTTAGTCGAATGAAACCTTTTCCTTATCTCTAAGACGGATTAGAACCTCACCATCCCGTATCAGTCCCATTGTTCATGTAGATCTTCCCTAACTCTCTCGATATTAGGCATCCATTCCTAGAAAAATGACAATCTCTTGAAATCTCTTACAAAGTATAGGAATGTTTTGTCTAGGCACCAGGCAATCTCTCAAAAGCTCTTACAGTGTCAAGGCAAAATATTAAAACAATGAAGAAAACAATATTAAGCATAAACAAACTTCTTCATTCAATAACATCAAACAACTTTTCATCAAAACCATAACCAACACCAAGTATAGATGTTCATGGTACGAAAATATCATCCAAGAGTTAAATATTAAGTACAAGCCCTTTAAGCGAATTAGAAATTAAGAAATTAGGAAGAAACACTCACAAACAGAGCTCTGGACATTCTGACAACCACCACACCTGCTCCAGCGGTTAGCCTCTCTCGAGGGCCTAGCCGCTGCTCTGGTGAAGTCCATCTATGGAAGGCACCAAGGACGATCAAGTGGGGGAACGATGGAAAATAAGGTGCTGCAGCCGCTTACTCCAAGCCTACGGTAAATCCTCTCCTTGCTTCTCAATCCTCCTGGGCAACTATAATGAGGTATTTATAATGAGAATTTGTAGGGTTTTGTGTCCTTGAAAATTCCCTAAATACCCTCGTTGACTTACCAATGTTATAAATGGAAAGGCGGCTAGAAGTGATCAATTTTCTTAAAGGGCGTGACTGTGCGTGAGGATGAAGCTGGGCAAATGACGTCAGCAGTTGTTAAGCCACTCAGATCTACAAGATAAATCTTGCCTAGGTAAGATAAATTTGTTCCTCACTGTCGTCTTCTTATGTTCCTCTAGCACTGGGAAATAATTTTTGTCTCGGTAAATAAATTATTCCTTAGTTATTTCCTACATCAACACAATCAACAAAGAACCTTTCTCCTCAGTAGCATCAGTTAAGCCAAATAAATCTTGCCTAGGTAAAACTTATCCACCACATGCAAATATGACCTAAATGCAACTAAAATGCTATGACAACGGCTTTTAGACACACAATAACTTGAGTAGAAAGACATAAAACATAGTGTTTTTATGGAGTTATCACACCCCAAACTTAAGCTATGCTTGTCCTCAAGCAATCGATAATAAGTAGTAGAAAAATAAATTGTCATGACAACACAAAAAGTTAGGATAATCATGTGGTTTAAAATTTCAGCCCTCAATAAAAAAGTTTAGTTTCAACATGGTAGATTGTATGAGAAGTCAAGTACAAGTGTGTGTGTGCGTGATTGTATAGCAGTCTATGCCTTAACATGGTTAGAAATTCCTAAGTAAGCACTTCTGTTTTGCCAATGTATCAAATTATTCATCAAGCATAGTTTCGCTCCTATTTATTCAACATGTGTCTTGAACTTTTTTTAGCATACTTCAGGGGAGTCAACTTATCACAACTACCATCCCACACTCTAGGTAAAAGGGAGCATACCTTCCACCCCCAAGCTAGTCATGCAGAGTCATCCCGTGACTGCTTTCATTCACTCATATGCCGAGGAAACCATTTGTTTAAGGGGTTTTTCTAGGTCATGCCATCACACAGAGGAGTGCCCTCTACAGTTATGTCGAGGCATTTATTTACAATTCAACACAATTCAAAACAACAAGGAGTTCAATTTAGCTTTTTAAATATTTAATGCCATGACGTATAAAAAGTTCTTTCCTAAAAATTTTCTAAACACCTTAAGAAGAGAGAACATACAATCGCATTTAAAGAGTCACAAAGAATCAAGTCCTAAGGTGGTTCTAGCCTTCAATAGTCATGTAAAATAATTCTAGCCTAGGCAATAAAAATTGCTTTCATCATCGGGCATCATCAATAATTCTATCCTAATAAAACCCATGCCATGACAACAAATATTTCAACCAATTATTATAAAAAATGCAGAAACTAAGTACGGAGTGCAACACCTCCTCCAAACTTGAGGGATATATTATCCTCAATGCATGAAAATGGATGCAAATACAACAGAAAATTACTCTAAAATGCTAATGCAAATGCAATTGAAAGAAAGATTACCTTATTGTGATGGAGAGGCTTGACTAGACACACGGGTTTTACGTCGTTTAAGAGGAAGAGGCTTTCGAATCCAGTATCTCCTAAAGGAAGGGAATATAGATATGGATTCACAATACGACCAGTTGTTCGTTTGATGTGACGTCATGTGCTCGGGGCATTAGTCGGTCATGACCTTTCCTCGGTGTGGGTTGGCTCTACAGGGGTGTCTTGAGACTGGCTTACTTCAGGGCCATGAATTGGTTATGTATTGAGATCCAGGGGTTATTCAGATACTTGTTCAGGTGTAGGCTAGTCAGGGAATGGGATGAAATTATCATCATCAAAGAATTCAGGCGGGAGTTCTTGGGTGTTATCGGAAGAAGAGGAGAAAGAGTTGAGATATTCATCTGTCTCGCCGTGGCCTTTTTCGTGTATAGGGGAGACATGTGTGGCGAGAGGAATGACATCCACGGGGAACTCGGGTCGGACATTTTATGTCGAGGCATGAAATGTGCTGCTGCCTAAAGGTGTGTAGGTCCTCATTGGTAATCGGGAGTAGCTCCTTGAAGAAAACATTCATTTGTGCATACCGTGACTTGACATAGCTAAAGAAGGTATGCATTTGACCTTCCAGACGCACCAACCACTCTCGCTCTCTCTAGTAGATGTGACCACGACTGCTATTCTTACCATGGCAACTGATTTTACTCCTTACTCCAAGCCCTCATATAAGCATTGTCATCAAAGCTCATAAGTTCGGGCACTTTCTTTTTGGTGATGCCTTCCTTTGACTTGATAAATTTCTCGAAAGGCTCATGGGGGACTTTTTTCTTCCTGCACAAAATATTTATCAAATTGGGAAAAAGAAGGTTACTGCAGATCCTCTTCGCGCCCTCGTGAATCTGCTTAAAGATTATCACGTCGACATCAATATCGTATCCATAGATAATAGAGTGCAGCATCATTAATCGCCTCACCAACACTGTTGTGTTGTGTGAAGTAGGCATCAACTTGCCTTTCAAAAAATGATTTCACATCTTTGTAACTGGCTTAAGGGCTCGGCGGTCCACACACATACGGTTGGGCGCATTTCTTCAAACTTTGCCCAGCCGAAACACATCTTCTATCACACCATCATATGTTTCTTGATATGCCTCAGTAAGGAATTTTTTATGTTGATCCTCTACCTTGCCAAACTTGAAGTAGTGGATTAGAGCCGAGGGAGTGAACCAGATGGATTTTCCTCTCAAATACACAATGTGTTGGGATGGGTCGCCTAAGTGGACGTAAAACTCTCAGACTGTTGTCGATGCCACTGCTTTTGGATGTTGGGCAAATTTCTCTCATTTATGCTTCCGTAATATGTCCATGACCTCTGGTCCAAAGGGTTCTTCACCAGCCTCTGGGAAGATAAAGCTGTCATCCAAATAAACTTGTCATTTATAGGGTTTTTTACTTCGCCTTAGCCTCAACAGTTTGGAAATGCTCAAATCTTGAAGCCGTGACAGAGGATGAAGAAACGCCTGGATTCCTCTTGGATTTGGCCATGGTGTTCGATGTGACAGATTGTAGGGAGTAGCAGAAGATTCTCACGGCGGTAATGGAGGGTTCTGATGAAAGGTGCAAAAGCAAAAGAAAGAAAGGTTGAATAAAAAGTTGAAAGAAAAAACAAGGAAACAAGGAGAAAGAAGAAACAGGCAGTTTTGAAGAAAAATAGTGAGTAATGGGTGGTTTCTTGGGGTTAAAATGGTAAAAATAAAAAAGGAAATGAGATATGTTATTAATTATGATATATTTGATTTGAATAAAAGAATTAATAAAATAAAGGAATATATCTTTCCCTCTTTAAAAGTGCCTTCAAAACTAATCTGATTAGGGTTTCTCACCTTCCATGCATAAGTTCATCCTAAGCTGCCACGTGTACCCTAAAAAGAAACAAAAATAGAGAATAAAATAAAAAATAAATAA